TGGACAAATGGGTGGACAGATGGATAGATGGTTGGATGTATGGCTGCATGCGTGGAAGGAAGGGTAGATGGATGAATGGATAAGTATATGGAAGTTAGGTAGGAAGAAAGAAGGAATACATTCTCTGCAAAAAAACTAAAACATTACAGATAAGACTAAAGTCCCCTGTGAGGACCTGCTTCCCAATTTCTTTTCGCCCCCTTTCCCAGTGGAAACCCCAGTCAATTGGAATGTAGGTCTCCAGGATTTTTTCAGTGCACATCCATATGTAAATATGCATCTGTAATATGAGAGAAAGGGGAGCTGGGAATGATTCTGATGTTTTTGTCTTGAGCAATTGTAAAAACAGTGTTGTCCTTTCCTGGGTTAATAAGTCTCCAGCCTGTTCTTTTTTTTATTAATTTATAATGAAAAATTCCAGACTTTGATCTGGACTCACACCTAACATCAAAGCTGGTGTACACTGGTCCCCCTACACCACATTCCCACTCCTCATTTGGCAATTAAACCTCAGTCCCTCTGGGACAGCCTGGACACCATGCATGAGCTAATGACTTGGTCAGCAGAAGGACTGAGGACACTTGCCACTCAGCATTCATTTCTGGACTCATCAAGATTCAAGTGATTTGCCAAGGGTCCAGTAGCAAGTCAGAACTGGGCTTTCATCTCATACAAACAGCCTGCTTGCTGTGGATGAAGCTCTGTCTCTAAAGCAACAGTTCTTGGCCTTTCTGAGCTCCTGGACCATGCTGAGAGCCCAGTGAAAATTATGGATCCCATCCCCTGGAAATGCACCTAGGCATACACAGCTACTTAGATAATTTCTGGAAGTTCGTTAACCCTCCCCTTAAAGTGCATCTGCAAACCCCCTTGAGGAACCGCAGGCTACAAATCCTGGCCCTAGAAGCAAAGTTGAAAATAGCTAAATTATTACCAAGATACTTTTATTTATTTTGAATAGGTGATAGATATACATGGAAAAAATACTAAAATAAGAGTACAAAAGGCTATTAGATGGTCTCCCGCCCACTTCTATCTTTTAGCATCTCGGTCCCTGACCAGATGCAGTCACTCTTAACAGATTCTTCTATAGACATTCAGAGATGGGGTGTGGGTGTGTGTATGTGTGTGCACATGTCCCTTTCTTTTCACATAGCAAGTAGCATACTGTGCACATTAATCTGTCTCTTAGCTTGGAGGTCATTTCTTAATGGAATCTAGAGGTGCCTTACACTCTTTAATGTTCCCTTAAGCTCTTGCTATTGTACAGCTGCCTCACTGATGAAGACTTAGAGTATATTTTATTTTAATCTTTTGCCAGAGAGAACATATGCAGTAAGTGACCTTGAACACCCCTGTTTGTGCTCATTTGGGAGTATATGTGTAGCAGAAGCTCCCAGAAGTGGAATTGAGGGTTCAAGGACATGTGCATTTTACATTTAATAGATTCTCCAACTTGTCCTCTAAAGGGGTTCTACCAATTTACATGTTCCCCAATAAAATCACGAAGTATTTTAATGACACTGCCAAATTTTCCCCAGAACTGTAACTATTAAATGTTTTATAGCTTAAAAAAAAGAAATCCATTACATGAAATGCTTCCTGGCTTCTCTTGACTAGTCCGAGTTCATTCACAAATTCAAACAAATGATCTAACCTATACATTCCCACTTAGCTCAGGCCAAAAGGCAAAGGCAGACACACAGACAAGCCTTCAGAATGCTTATCTGCTAACGAGGGACTGTCTTGATGCACTGACCCCATTATTAATGGGCAGACAGAACTGATGTCTCATCAGAACTGAAGTTTGCTCCAACTCCACAGGAGCCTCACATGAACAACCCAGAACACACAGAAAAGTTGAAAAGATCAAGATCCCCAGGGAAATGGAAAATGCCAAGTCCATTCCCATTTCAATTAGTTGGAGTGAGGAACTGTTGAGTCATGGTTTCCAAAGCTGCCAAAGCCATTGCTCATCCGGCCAATCGAGACAAGGCTCAACCCTGCTGCTTTCGTTCACTCGAAGCAGAACATCCCATGCTTTCAGAATTGGACACATGGTACCAAGTTTGTCTTAAAATGAACAAGAAATTGTATTAAAGTATATGGGGCAGAAAATAAATACATCAGCCAAGATTCTGTCCATGAGTTACAAGGGACCGAAGCAAGAAAGAGGGAGAGAGAGAAATGGGTTCTTGACTTCCTGGCCTATACCTTACGATGCTCCCCCAACTCTTGCCTCAGGGTAACTCCTGGAATCTCTGGCCCTGGCTGACATCCCACAGTGACACACACTCAGCAATAGAAATATTTATTAGCCCCACTTTACAAATGAAAAGGGTGAGACACAGACAGATTAAGAGGCACACAGCTTCTTAAAGAGCAGTGCCAAGGTTTGACCATCCTGTCTGGCTCCAAAATCCACGTTCCTCCCACTAGTCCAGTTTTCTAGAGGAGGCTTCTTGAAAAATCCTAACAACCTTTGCACTTGCAGCATCCAGTCCATGCCCAGCCCAGACAGAGGACAAAAGGGTCAGAGGAGTCTGGCCAACAGGAATCTGAGGCAGTTTACAAAGCAATAAAGAGAATGAGTCCCCACCTGAGAAAAGTGCTCCCTGCAGACTGTGGGCTCCACGCAGACAGGCCTGATCTGGTTCCCTGCTGCGTCTCCAGAGCTAAACAAAACATAACGCCCAGTACATGGTGGGCATTCAATAAATACTGTTGAAAGCATTAAAATGTTGACATAAACATATCAGGAGTTCATAGGAAGGTACATAGCAAGGGTCTCAGCCTGCGCAGAATCCCAGCACATGTGGGCAGGCTTGCCAAACAGGTTTCAGTTATGTTAGGGTTTCCCCACCTCGGCATTATTAACATCTGGGGCCGCCCCCTCGTGGTAGGGGAGGGCTGCCCTGTGCCCTGTACATGTTAGCAGCATCCCTGGCCTCTACTCTTTAGATGCCAGTACAAGCCTCTGCCAAGTGGTACCAACCGCGAGAGTCCCAGGCATTTCCCAGTGTCTACTGAGAGGGCAAAGCTGCCTTCCTCACATGGTGAGAACCGCTGAGCTGTACGCAGTGGAGCCTAATCCTTATTGAAACACGGTGGGGTTTTCTTCAGAAATTTTTGCTGGAACAATAAAATAAGCCACCAGGATGCTGTGCGTGTCTTCCTTTCTGGTATAAAGTTGATAAGCTCTGTTTCAGGGGAAATGAGGGGGAGGAATCAGGAGGCTTCAGCGGGTCACCAGGGTAATTCCAGCTCTGGACAGCGAGGGCTGCGGGGAGGCCTTGGGGTGCCAGTCATGTGATCCTTAAGGACGCACCAAGTGTGGTTCTCCCCGTGCAGGGTAGGAAACATCGGAGGAAACATCAGACTCCGTCAGAAAGGAGGCCTCCCTGTCTTCTCCTGCCTTGATATGGAACATGTTTCCATCTACATCAGAGTATTTAACACTTAAAATGAGAGACTCTGGGACAGGAGTTAGCCATCCCACAAACCACGGAAAGGAGGTGGGGGAGCATGCTTCCTCCACCAGAAACGTGGTGAATTAAAGAAAAGGGAAGGCCAAGGTTTCTCCTGCTTGTCCATGTGGCATTGTCCAGGAATGAGCGGTGCAGACGACAGGCATAAGTCAAACACTTTTCTAAGAGGCACCATGAGACCTCTATCCTCAGCTTCTCCTTCCCCCAGGAGAGCTCCTCTCCTGAATTTTAAAACCCGCTCATCTGGCAGAGCTGCTGCGACTTCCTAATGAACTACCAGGAACAACAGGGGCTTTGGTGGAGGCACTGGGTCCAAGGGGTCCCCCAGCCCTGCCCTCCCTCACCTCTTCCAAATATGAGGAGGAAGGAACATGTTTCCATCTTACCGTCAGGCCTTCTCTGAGGGAGCTGCTCATGCTGCACCTTGGCAGATCCTCAGAGGAAAGACCAGTCACAAGAGAATTTTCCATTCCACGTGCAAGGGGAAGCTCGGGCTGGAGTTGCGCGGAGCACTTTCCTCGACCGTATTACTTACAGACAAGGGAGCAGGCGGGGGTTAGAGTGCTCTACAGAGGGATTTTATCACGGGCTTCTACGCATGGAACATCTTCTTCCGGCACAATCTTAAGGGAACTCTAAAAAAAAAAGCAGATACAAGAGGAGCCTTTTTCAGAGAAATGGAAGGTCTAGAAATCCACCCCAGCCAACACTCAGCCCGGAAGCTGCCCCAAACCGCACCCCATTCTGCCCTCTGCTCTGGGAAACGAGGTGTTTCCCTCGGCATTCGGTTGCTCTGGGGACGTCCAGCTGAGGTGCTCGCATCGGGAGCTGGTTACTCTGTCCGCCTGTCCCCAGCCCCTTCTCACCTTCTCCCCCTGCTCGGTGGCCCGGGACTGTCTTGCCCAAGCTCCCTTTGGCTTGGCTAATAGGAGGCACCAACGGGAGAGCAAGAGCGAGGAGGAGCGTGGCAGGGCCTACCTCCCCACGCACGCCCTCTATGAGCTGGCTCAGGTTGGTTCTGAGTCTGTTTACATTTCCAGCAGCCTGGTTTAGGTTTGGGCTGAGAAACAGGGTCCCCGATATGTGTGTGCATTCGGTTCAAGCCTTCCCGGAAGATCACTCACAATGTTTTAGCTGAAAGTGGAATTGAGTCTGTTGGTTTCCTGAGAGATAAAAATGTACTTCTTTGTGCTATTTAAATGTTAAGAGGGCTTGGATGTTTGCTGCAAAAAGCCTCTTTAGGCTGCACCGAGTTTCCCCAGCCTCCCAGTTTCACAGGTTAGGAAGTTCTTTTAGAAAATGAAAAGAATGAATTTCATTTATATAAACTTCTTGCTGTGCTTTCCACCAAATTCCAAATTAATTCTAACCCCAGGTTTACCAGATCAGACCAGCAAGGTCGCCATGACATGACTTTTTATATTAACCTGACCAGCTTTGTGCCAGGCATGCTGGATCTACTGTCGCTAACCCTCCCAGCCCCTACGGTACATAGTTATTCCTAGGCAAGAAACCAAGCTCGAGGCTCGGAAGAAGAGAAGGCACTTAGGGGAGCTGGAACCTCAACCCGATCTTTATGGTCCCAAAGCCCAACCTCTCCCCAGAGCGCGCCCTCCCTCATCCTACCCTCCAGGGAGCTGAGGCTGCACTTTGCCAGCATCCGCATTTGGGGCTGACATCACTTTCCTGCCCCCAGTTGCTCAAGTTCCTGGTCTGCAGCAAGCTTCATTTCTCCCCACCTGGGTCTGCAGGGGAAAATGCCTTTTTTTTTTTTTTTTTTTTTT